GCGTTTTACGTCGGGTTTTTGGCGACATGTGTTTGAGCTTCTGGGTAGCAAGCTTCACATGTCAACCGCTGATCATCCCCAGACCGATGGCCAAACAGAACGGGCCAATCGAGTCGTGGCGGATGTGTTGCGTACAGTAGCGACTCCCAAAGAATGGAGCAAGCAATTGTCATTCGTGGAGTTCGCTATTAATAACAGTGTTCACGCCAGTACGGGTGAAACACCGTTTTACATTAACGGACTGCGTCATCCTCAAACGCCAGTCTCGTTTGTGCGCAGCCCGAGTCTTAGTGGGGGAGGGCCCCTCGGTGCGAATGCCAAAGAGGGCCAAGGTTGCCCTAGTGACACTGTAGTTTAACAGTGGTCACGACACCTATAGGTGTCACAGAGGAGGCACGGCAAGAAATGCCAGTGCTCCTTGATGATGACACTGTAGTGTTATCAACAGCGTCGACCCATGAACGACCTCTTGGAGGCGTCATAGGCGAGCTGGATGCTGAAAGCGTGAGCGAAGCTCAGCGCTTTGTGAATGAGCGATTAGCCATCACACGTAAAGTCCGTGACGCGATGGCAAGCGAACAGGACAAGCAAAAACAATATGCATACCAGCATGGTCGCAAAAACAATGAGCACTTTAGTGTGGGGGACATAGTGCTATTTAGTACTGCTACTCTACCGAAACATGCAATTTCTGTACTACCTGGTGGTATTACTAAGCTATTGCCCCGATTCATTGAGCCCTTTACAGTGGTTGAAGAAGTTGGAGACCTAAAGTATAGGCTCACTCTCCCACCGTATATGAAGACGCACCCCGTATTCTACGTGGGTCGTCTGAAACGGTATGTTGATCCAGAAGAGATTACATATCCACATCGGTCTAACGAGACCGATGGTGACGTCGACTGTGAGTCGAGCGTCGCGACCGATCAGGCGACGAGGAAGCCGAGAGGCTCCCCGTATACGAACGAGGCGATAGAGGACTCGGCGATCGAGGAGGACTCCGCGCTTGACGCGGGTCTCTCATCACCAGTCGCTCTAAGATGTCCAAGCGGGTCTTCAGGCGGTCATACCCCTGACGATCCCTCGCCCTCACATCGCGCAGATCCGAGGTCAGTCGCGAGACTTGACTCTCGAGATCTGTCACCTGACTCTTCAGCGCAGCGGACTCAGCTTGCGACTGAACAGCAGCAGGGTAGGCAGCCGCGAGTAGGTGGGCGTAATCGCCACTCCTATCGGGCGCCACCTGTGTTGGTGGACACGGATGGGAACACGCGCTTCCTTGTTGGAAGGCTGTTGGCCCACCGGTTTGTGAAGCGAAAGCTCCAAATCCTTGTCCAATGGAAGGGTTACCCAACGAGCTTTGACTCGTGGGAGCCTGTGGACGCTTTGCGCGTTGACGTTCCTGGGCTGGTGGCTGCTTATGTGAAGCAGCACCAGCTGTCTTCTTTCTGCTAGGTCCGGATGGACTAGCAGAAGAAGCGTGGCGAGAATCAATTGGGGGTCGCTTACCGCCCATAATTTCATGCGCACGCTTCATGGCGAAGATGATTCGCTGCGACCGTTGTTTCGCTGCATCTACATGCAACGTTACACGGCGCCGAAGTTCAGCTTCATATTCGTCGGCTGTTTCGTTAGAACGCAGCACGACTGGAATTGGGAAAGCACGACCAAGTGCTTTGCCCTGCTTTTTCCACAAGGGAAAGACGCTATAAAACTTATGAGCGTCAAGAGTTGCACGCTGCAAAAGCGCTGCACTAGACCCATCCGATTTCATACACTTAGATGGAGGTGGCATTGGTGGCAAGCCACCACTCACGTAGCCGTCCTCGCGACGGCGGACTAGTGAGGCCGACGGTGTACTTGGTGGAGCTTTAAGCTCACACTCACCTGAGTCTGACTCTCCATTATGGATTGTCAAGACATCAGCTTGAGGAGTCACATCTGACTGAGTCGCGACTACTCCTTTCGAGGTAGCGTGCTCGGTCTTGGTCGCTGCGCTCGTAGGCGCAGGCGACGAGGCTTTACCTTCGCTTGCACGAAGCGTAGATGCTCCCTCAAGGACGGGTGCCTCAAATAATGGGGACATATGTCCCATCAATGCGCTTTGCTCATCGCCACTTTGGGGTGATGGCAATGGCGTAGTCTCATTGTAGTCTACAATGAGAGATGGATCTTCATCCACATTATAGTGAGATGGAAGATTCACCTCAGTGTCTGAAGCACTTTGCGACGGCTGCGATAAATCGCGGCGCGTGCGCTTATTGCTGGACTGAATGGCCGCCTTTGCAGGCGACCCATTAGCCTTGCCACGTTTCGGTGGCATGAGAATTGAGTAGACTAAAGCGGCGCGTTTATACCGGCTCGCAAGTCTCTCTGTCTCCTAGGCGATGTTTTACAAAATGTAAAAATCATTCTACAAGGGAGATGGTGTAACAGGGCATCTAGTTACACGTAAACATAAAGTAATATACTTAATGTTTGGTCTAAAAGTATCCATGATTACTTTTGACCTGTCACTTGGGTGCGATACAAAAATGTGATCCACCCTCATGAATGTGATATACATTGATGAATTCACATGAGAAGGATGACGCTAGTTGAAGCTAGGCATCGCGACGTCTCAGAAGGACGTCAGTTGCGATCTTAAATCTAGATTTAAGATCATGCGACAGGATACGCTTCTAAAGAGCCGCGTATCCGATCTCTCTCTATATAGCCAATCAGTAGTTAAGTGTATATTAAGTTATAATTCATTAAATATAGCTCAGTCTTGAATTTGCTTAAACATAAGCGCCACGCACGAGAAGCTGAAAAAGCTTCTGCGTGACGTCGGTGACTTTTTGTTTTAGAAGCTCGTTGCACTCTCGCTTAAGCGAGAGGCAACTGGTGGTACGACTGCTTAAGCAGTCGACCAACCGCATAACCACCCTCGCACGCGACGGTAAGACGGTCTAACCGCTTCCTCGCTTGTGCTGAAGGTGTGTGCTAGTAGCACGAGGCAACTTCGTAGAAGTGCCCGTCTACAGCTACACCCTGCTTACAGTAGATTACGCTCAGTTGGGCGAGCCATCTATCTTCAGCAGGGAGCAAAAGCAAAAAATACGGCTGCTACCATAAACCCGGCGCGTGTCACGCTTTCGCCGGATTTAATTCTTTGTCGAAGGACCGTCGCGTCAAGCTCCGTCTATCACATAAGAACGCTCCAAAGGCGCAGACGAAAAAATATGACATTGACTGTGTTGGCTACCTGGAACCAATTCCATCTGAGTGCCTCGTGAAGGGGAGAAACATCTCGCCGTGGAGTTGACTGTATAAAGTCGTCGTTGACGAGAACACGTGAGTGGTGAAGACTGCTGAGATTGAACTGGAGTGTAGTCTCCTAGTAAACTAGGACTCGGAGGGAGAGGACGACAAACGGATCTTCTTCTTACATGCCATTTGAGAGCCTTTGGCTTCTCCTTGGTGGATGGCTTCCCCACAGGAAGTATTTTTTGCGTCAGCGAATGTTAGAGGTACAATAGCCCCTGCGTCGCTAGAATTATTGACATTCTCACTGCTACATTACCATGCGGACAACATGTTGATGACTGCCACGATCCCTGTAATGATGAAACGTGTAAAACGTAGTTTACAGTGATGGTCGAAACCGCTGCTAATAATGACCCACTATGGTCTCGAGCAGTTTACAACGTTGCGAGAAAGTGTCGAAGCCGACGTCAATCTCAAATTTCAGCATCGATCGAATTATACTTCCTAGTTACCCTCAGCTCGTACGCTTTCCGAACCCTTATTGAAACGTGGACAACACATCGTTGCGATTTGACTAGTCTACGGAGCCTGGTGTGAAGCGCAACTTATTTAGAACCGTGCGTGTGTTTGCAACGTTCAGTTACCCTGTCATGACATTTCTGCCGCATGATTGTCTGAGCAGCTACAGAACAAACTTATTGTGAATACAGATTATATTCTATCATAGCTGACACAGCACCTTGTCCTGATCTGCATATCTCGTCACTGCAAAACTGTTGTATTGCTTCATCAAAACTTGTTTGCTGTGTCGTTACTCCACCAGTTCCGCAAGATACCGTCACCAGCGTAGTATCTTCCAGAGTTATCAATGCCATGCGTGAGTTCGTCTCCCGATGATACAACAAATAGAAGTAAAGTTGCGTGCAGGTGGTATTTAAAAGCGAAAAATGGCGACTGGAGTTGGAAGTACGATCTGGTTCATTGTCGGGTTACACTACGCGATTACTTCAACATCCATCGTTGTATATTCGTTGCGGTTCAATAGACCACCGATCCGTCCTATATCTCGATTATACCGATGCTTCATGACGATCCCGCATATTCTCTGCATGTAGTGCGTCGCCGCGTAGTTCGTACGGAAAGTGCTCGGCGAGAGTCGAGTACCCAATAAGATTGGTCATGGTGCCTATCTTTTCAACAGCGGCCTGTCGAGTGGGTCCGTCAAGCCAATCCACCTGCTTGAGGTTCTTCTGCATCGACGCTTGAACTTGCGCCACAAGTTGGCTAGCAAGGTGCTCACTGGCCTTGTTGAACTCGAGGTGCGCAATAACTTGCCCAGTAAATCAGGAAATGTGCTGGTAAAATGGTACAGGCACTCCTTCCATCACATGGAACGCTTCTTCTAACCGCCAACAGTCCGATCATAAATGGAGAAGTTTCGCCTGAATGAAAGACTCGCTGACGAAATCTACCTTGGCGCTGATAAACTGGTACATCAGCACACTTTTCAGGGTTTCCAAAGTCACAGAACCTCCAGTCACAAGCTTTTCAACACGCTTAAAAAATCGGGCATTTGTACGAACACTTCAGCGTTCTGATCTGTGAGGTTCTTAAGCAACATGCGCCCTTCAAGGACTGTGAGAAAAACAATGGATATCTATCAGCAGCTTGAGCCACGCTCATGCGATTGTACGTTGCGACAGGATCATCCAGCGATACGAAAGCGGTGCAAGCGTTTGTTTCCCAACCAATCACTGTGGAACTTGCGGTGCTGTTGCACGCAATCCCCATCCAACTAACACAAACAACTTCACCACATACGCATACAATGCGTCACTGATGGAGTCAAAATTCTTGCGGTCCAAATAATACAGGGGATTCGACAGTGGCAGTCCATACTGCGCTGCATACAACATGCACACAGCGCTTTTCGAGCCTTCACTTCGACACCGAGCTCTGTTGAAAAGCTTGTTCCTGCTTTGTGCAAGACTCCTGCAACTCGAAACAGCTTCTTCTTGCCTTTCGTCGGAGCGATCTGCTCTAACACTGGCGACAGGACTTTCAACGACGCGTCAGTCACCATTGTACTATTCGTGCTGTTAGAGTTCATGCACGAGTCGTACAGCTCGCCCACGAACAGCCAACCTTGCTGCATCACGTCTTTCAGCACCTTTTCATTCTTATCATCTAAAGTAGAAAATACCAAGGACACACTCGACTTGTCTTCCAGAATCTCCACCTTTTTCTGCCATGATCCACAACTAACACGTAAAAGTCATCACGCGGGTCCACATCTCTATCCATATGACTGACAACGTCAGTTTGTAACATCTCCATCCACGTGGTTGTCTCGGTCGCTAAACGGGTCACGCGTGGGGCCTGTAAAAGGCTTCCTTGGACCACAAAAACCACCACCAAGAGGAGCAATACACCGGGGTCTCCAACTGCCCAGCGCAACAGGTTTCTGCATCAATAGCGGCAACGAGCTTGCATACACCAGCGATTCATCTTCATGGTTCAGAAGCAGCAGCTCATCTTTCATTCTCTGCTGCTTTGTGGATAGCGCCTCTTCGTCATCGAGAGGGGGCTCGACTCTAATTCCGTCGTAGCTTTTCGTCCTTTTGCTGTATTTCGAGCGCTACATTTCAAGTACAATTCTGAATGCTCTTGATAGTGTCGGTCGAGTGCACAGTTGATACAGATATGTGGATCGAGAGCGAGAGGAATATCAACGAGGCTTTCGTGTGTCCGAAGATTATTGTAAAGGTGTGAGGCTGTCAGACCCAAGTACCTTTTCAAGAAGAACATAGCCCCATTCATCTCAGCTGTCGATTTTCCATTCTTCGTAGGACAGCAAACCTATCGTAGTATTTCATCTCGAACCAATCTTCTACTTCTACAACATGCTCTGGCTACTCTCAACCCCAGTACCGACCATGGCTCTACCTCTGAGCTTTTACTCATCCGTGATACAACCGATGCACTCCGCATAACGCTATTTGCATTACCGACGCAGGTGTCGCGTTCCAACACGCTGGCACGACCTCATGCCATTGCGTCCTTTGTCAAAAACCACGCCAAACTAATAACCAAAAAAGGTGCAGAGCAAAACGACGATGGGGTGGTGCTAGTTGTAGACGGGCACTTCTACGGATTTGCCTCGTGCTACTAGCACACACCTTCAGCACAAGCGAGGAAGCGGTTAGAACGTCTTACCTTCGCGTGCGAGGGTGGTTAGGAGGTTGGTCGACTGCTTAAGCAGTCGTACCACCAGTTGCCTCTCGCTTAAGCGAGAGTGCAAAGAGCTTCTAAAACAAGAAGTCACCGACGTCACGCAGAAGTCTTTCAACTTTTCGTGCGTGGCGCTTATGTTTAAGCAAATTCAAGACTGAGCTATATTTAATGAATTATAACTTAATATACACTTAACTACTGATTGGCTATATAGAGAGAGATCGGATACGCGGCTCTTTAGAAGCGTATCCTGTCGCATGATCTTAAATCTAGATTTAAGATCGCAACTGACGTCCTTCTGAGACGTCGCGATGCCTAGCTTCAACTAGCGTCATCCTTCTCATGTGAATTCATCAATGTATATCACATTCATGAGGGTGGATCACATTTTTGTATCGCACCCAAGTGACAGGTCAAAAGTAATCATGGATACTTTTAGACCAAACATTAAGTATATTACTTTATGTTTACGTGTAACTAGATGCCCTGTTACACCATCTCCCTTGTAGAATGATTTTTACATTTTGTAAAACATCGCCTAGGAGACAGAGAGACTTGCGAGCCGGTATAAACGCGCCGCTTTAGTCTACTCAATTCTCATGCCACCGAAACGTGGTAAGTCTGATGGGTCGCCTGCAAAGGCGGCCATTCAGTCCAGCAATAAGCGCACGCGCCGCGATTTATCGCAGCCGTCGCAAAGTGCTTCAGACACTGAGGTGAATCTTCCATCTCACTATAATGTGGATGAAGATCCATCTCTCATTGTAGACTACAATGAGACTGCGCCATTGCCATCACCCCAAAGTGGCGATGAGCAAAGCGCATTGATGGGACATATGTCCCCATCATTTGAGGCACCCGTCCTTGAGGGAGCATCTATGCTTCGTGCAAGCGAAGGTAAAGCCTCGTCGCCTGCGCCTACGAGCGCAGCGACCAAGACCGAGCACGCTACCTCGAAAGGAGTAGTCGCGACTCAGTCAGATGTGACTCCTCAAGCTGATGTCTTGACAATCCATAATGGAGAGTCAGACTCAGGTGAGTGTGAGCTTAAAGCTCCACCAAGTACACCGTCGGCCTCACTAGTCCGCCGTCGCGAGGACGGCTACGTGAGTGGTGGCTTGCCACCAATGCCACCTCCATCTAAGTGTATGAAATCGGATGGGTCTAGTGCAGCGCTTTTGCAGCGTGCAACTCTTGACGCTCATAAGTTTTATAGCGTCTTTCCCTTGTGGAAAAAGCAGGGCAAAGCACTTGGTCGTGCTTTCCCAATTCCAGTCGTGCTGCGTTCTAACGAAACAGCCGACGACTATGAAGCTGAGCTTCGGCGCCGTGTAACGTTGCATGTAGATGCAACAAAACAACGGTCGCAGCGAATCCGCTTCGCCATGAAGCGTGCGCATGAAATTATGGGCGGTAAGCGACCCCCAATTAATTCTCGCCACGCTTCTTCTGCTAGTCCATCCGGACCTAGCAGAAAGACGAAAGCTGGTGCTGCTTCACATAAGCAGTCACCAGCCCAGACACGTCAACGCGCAAAGCGTCCACAGGCTCCCACGAGTCAAAGCTCGTTGGGTAACCCTTCCACTGGACAAGGATTTGGAGCTTTCGCTTCACAAACCGGTGGACCAACAGCCTTCCAACAAGGAAGCGCGTATTCCCTTCCGTGTCCACCAACACAGGTGGCGCCCGATAGGAGTGGCGATTACGCCCACCTACTCGCGGCTGCCTACCCTGCTGCTGTTCAGTCGCAAGCTGAGTCCGCTGCGCTGAAGAGTCAGGTGACAGATCTCGAGAGTCAAGTCTCGCGACTGACCTCGGATCTGCGCGATGTGAGGGCGAGGGATCGTCAGGGGTATGACCGCCTGAAGACCCGCTTGGACATCTTAGAGCGACTGGTGATGAGAGACCCGCGTCAAGCGCGGAGTCCTCCTCGATCGCCGAGTCCTCTATCGCCTCGTTCGTATACGGGGAGCCTCTCGGCTTCCTCGTCGCCTGATCGGTCGCGACGCTCGACTCACAGTCGACGTCACCATCGGTCTCGTTAGACCGATGTGGATATGTAATCTCTTCTGGATCAACATACCGTTTCAGACGACCCACGTAGAATACGGGGTGCGTCTTCATATACGGTGGGAGATTGAGCCTATAATTTAGGTCTCCAACTTCTTCAACCACTATAAAGGGCCCAATGAATCGGGGCAATAGCTTAGTAGTACCACCAGGTAGTACAGAAATTGCATGTTTAGGTAGGGTAGCAGTACTTAATAGCACTTTGTCCCCCACACTAAAGTGCTCATTGTTTTTGCGACCATGCTGGTATGCATATTGTTTTTGCTTGTCCTGTTCGCTTGCCATCGCGTCACGGACTTTACGTGTGATGGCTAATCGCTCATTCACAAAGCGCTGAGCTTCGCTCACGCTTTCAGCATCCAGCTCGCCTATGACGCCTCCAAGAGGTCGTTCATGGGTCGACGCTGTTGATAAAACTACAGTGTCATCATCAAGGAGCACTGGCATTTCTTGCCGTGCCTCCTCTGTGACACCTATAGGTGTCGTGACCACTGTTAAACTACAGTGTCACTAGGGCAACCTTGGCCCTCTTTGGCATTCGCACCGAGGGGCCCTCCCCCACTAAGACTCGGGCTGCGCACAAACGAGACTGGCGTTTGAGGATGACGCAGTCCGTTAATGTAAAACGGTGTTTCACCCGTACTGGCGTGAACACTGTTATTAATAGCGAACTCCACGAATGACAATTGCTTGCTCCATTCTTTGGAAGTCGCTACTGTACGCAACACATCCGCCACGACTCGATTGGCCCGTTCTGTTTGGCCATCGGTCTGGGGATGATCAGCGGTTGACATGTGAAGCTTGCTACCCAGAAGCTCAAACACATGTCGCCAAAAACCCGACGTAAAACGCGGATCCCCGTCCGATACTATGGACTCGGGCATCCCGTGTAGTCGATACACCTGATCCAGCAACAAGAGGGCAGCCTCTTTTCCTGAGATCTTGGTGCTACATGGTGCCAAATGCACCATCTTGCACAGTATGTCTACAAAGACGACGAGTCCCGTCCTGCCTTTATGGTCAGGCGGTAAGCCAAACATGAAGTCCAAACTGACCGAATTCCAACATTCAGTTAGAATCGGCAGTGACTTCAATGGCGCACTGTTCGAAGGTGCAGGCTTTATGCGCTGACACTCTTCGCAAGAGCGAATATAGTTGGCCACCCACCGATATAGGTGGGGCCACCAAAATTCCTCTGACACTCGTAAGAATGTCTTTTCATGGACCAGATGTCCACTAGATGGCGCATCATGGCACTTGTGAAGTATCATCAGCTTGAGATCTGTGTCATGAGAGACATAGATTCTCAAGGGATCACAGGGTGACAGTTGATGCCATAACAGTCCATCACTGTAACTAAAGCGATTTAGTTTCGCTTTGAGGTGCGACGGAAGGGTAACCTTTCGTCCACCAAAATGATCCAACAGCAGGCGACAATGTTCGTCCTGACTGTAACACTCCTTTATATCGGAGGCCATTGAGCTCGTCACATGGTAGGCCTTCATGGCTGCCAATGTTGACGACTCAACTTGTGCTTTCGCACGAGACACACTTTCCTGGTGCCTTGCCTCGAAGTCTGGTCTGCGCGATAACGCGTCAGCCAAGACATTCGACTTACCCGGCTTATAAACAACTTTGAAATTAAATTCAGAGAAGAATGTTAGCCATCTCGCCATTCTCGGCGAAAGGTGCGGTGAATTTATAGCGGTCCGCAGTGATGCGTGATCCGTATAAACCATAAAAGGTTCGGTGCCCAAGAGGTGCACCCGAAACTTCACAAGGGCAGACTTAATTGAAAGTAGCTCCTTGTCATGCACAGGGTAATTCAGCTCGGCAGATTTTAAAAGCCGA